CTGGTAAAATTACTTTAAGTTGTTGAATAAGCATTATATAAAGTTAATCTTTATTAAAATCTACAAGGACAGCAGGCCTAGCTTTTAAATAAAATCCACCGAGGGGAATTGACAGTATGTGTAGAATATAAATTTTCAATGAACAATTTAACATTTATATAAGTTTCGACTGCAGCATAATCTATTCAAACTACATTTTACCGTGGTGGCTCGGAGGACAGAGAGCTTGCCTCCCAATGAAGTTACCCGGGTTGAATCCCAGTGATGGCTGTTTAATACGAAATCTGCCCCTGGCTAGCACCAATGATAGTGTTGACTTAAAATATCCTCAGTGGTAGACAGATTACGGGTTATAGACCTTTTCCGTCAGGCTAACCGTGAGAGGTTTTCGTGGTTTTCCTCTGTTGTAATGCAAATTTGGGTTAGTTCCATCAAAAAGTCATTCACGAAGGCTAGCTTGTCCCAGTACTTGATCCAGGAGTTCCCTTGTCTTCTGGATTGAGTTTAAAATTACAAGGAGTTAAACCTTGGTAGTTGTAAACTCAAAAATTATGCCGGCTGTTCAGTGACGGTAATAAAATAAAACTGCATTTTCATTTAAGTTTTACAATTATAATTTATTTTTTATCGTACGCATTTATAGAAATATTTATTTTCATAAAGGAAAAAAAGTTATTCAAATTAAATTTTTTAGTTATTTTTTTAATTTTTTTTATTCAATGGACGTTAAAAAAGGAAACTGTACACTAAATACATATCTTGTTGGTTTCAAAATCCAGAAAAGTTAATGTACTAATGACTAAATGGCTAATAAACCATTTATAAAAATTAAATTTCTATATTCATTTTCTTTCTCCGTGACAATTTAAATCAGTAATAAATTATTAAAGTCATGCGCTGTTAACTTTAATGGACTCTATAGGTTAAGCAATGGATTTTTTAATGGCTTTAATGTGCTCACGAAGCTTGTCTAGACAAAATTAGTTAAATTAATATCTTCCAAGTTAATGTTTCTATAAAAATTACAGACTTTAATGCTGATGGAGACATGATAAAATGAAGTTAAAATAAATTTTATCCTCACACAACGGAAACATACATAACCTGTAGGATATACGATTTAAACACACATGCACACAGTTAAATTGACCCCTTGATATTTCAAATTGGGAAGATACCCTAAAAAAAAAGCAGCAGCAGTTTTCAATAGCAAAGAGCTCTTCGAAGTAAATGTTCAGTATCTTCGATCAGAAACATTCTTTATTTTAAAGTTTATTGAATTCTTACTAGAATCGTATTATTGAAATCTTACTATTGAAATCTGGTCTAATTATTTAAAGGTCGTTATGATAAAAAAGACTATTTTTACTGTGCTTGATCACAGTGTTGAAATTTTCTAGCTAGAGTTTGAATTGTTTAAATATAAAGATGCCAAATTGTGGAATTGTGAGCTGATATTGTTGTTCACACCGAAAACACAATTACTACTAATTTAGAGAAAAACTAGGGATTACTTAACATAAATAATCCAGGAACTCCAGAGACAAGAGAAATATCCAATAATAATTATAGTGATATATAATGAAAGAAGCAAGCAAAATATAAAGTTGGAAGATATAAAAAAAACATTGGCCTACTTAGACTGTTTGGAAAGTTTTAAAAATTATCCTTACATTAAAATTACGTTAGTTACGTTAAAGTTACGTTAAAATTACTTCTCATTATTAAAAAGAAGATATCAAATTTACAACGAAACCCTCTTCCTCTCAAATAAAATGATTTAAAGAGAACAGTTAATGCGAAATTTTATGAGCAAAAGTATATTTTCGTGCTGTTTTCGTCGATAACACTATTTCTATCGAAATAATTTAAATTTTAGTCATATACTAATTTGGCCTGTAAATTCAAGATAAAATTTCTTATAAAGTATTAAGTGCTAAAAGAAACGCTGAAATTCTGGAAATAAAATTTCATATTATCTTTCACATATTCATATTATCTTTATAATTAAATGGTTAGTTGAAATTGCTAAATGATCATAAGACATGGCTATCCTTCTGATATTATTTGCTAGCTGGAATTTATTCAAAAAAAAAAAATGAATAAATAAATCAATAAATCCCTTAAAGAAAAAGCGTGTGAGGTTTAAATCAACAAAAATTGAACTTCAATTGCTTAAACGATTTGAAAGTCCCATTGAAAAGAAAAATGAAAGTTAAATTTTTAATTTACGTCATTTCTCTTTTAAGAGTCAATGCTTACGGTTCGTCGAGACCAATTCCTCCCGGAATGCTGGGGCGGTTAAAGACGGGGTTGCACAACAACTGAGGAATGTATCACTTAGATGAATGTAAGAAAGGAATGGTAGATACTAGTTTTTCATTACGACAAAATCTTCTCAATTAAATTTATCTCCCCTAAATTGAAGCTCTCTGGTTCGATTCGCATTGAAGAAATTGCTTGGAAGGAAGTCAGAAAAAAAAAGGGAAATAGGGGGGGCTTAGAAATTGCAAAGCCGTATATAGTTAAGAGTAAGGGAAAAAGTGACTCTGCAAAGATGACAACGTGGGACCTCGAAAAAAAAAAGGATAGTAACAAATAAATAATAAAAACACGACCAAGAAAAATCAGAGATTTTCGCCAATCAACGACGCAAGGGAGGGTTAGAAAGGAAAAAATATCCCCGGCTTGAGGGGTTTCCGTTAGAATAGAAGGGAAAGTGAAGAAGAGTATGTACATGCGAGGAGGTTTATGGGGGTCGCTTTGCGGGGGCGGGGGTTGAGGAAGGCGTAGAAGATTGAGGGTGGAAACAGGGCTAGAGGAAATGAAGAAACGAGGATAGTGGGAAGCTGTCCACTGAAGGATGAACAACATCCAAACTGAAGGAACGAAGGAGAGAAATAGAGAAAGATTGGAAGAGGAGACAAAAAAAGAAAAAAATAACCATAAAAAAAGTTGTTTAGAAGTTGACGTCCGGTTTTTGGATCGATGAGTAAACGTTGACAGCAGTAAGACTGCCTTTTTTGGGGTATCGAATCACTACGAAATGCCTTCGGAACTCGATAATAACGAATTAAGTGAACGTCCGCACGAAATTCGAAAAGAAGAAGATAGAAAAATGTAACTCTCGAAAACTTTCGAATAATAGCTCGGAAATGTTGCGGTGACCGATTTTCATTTTAGCTGCAGGGATCTTTTAAAAATTTTATAAAGCTACTCTGAGGGGTAAGGAAGATCTGAAAGAATAATAGAACAGTCTAAAATACTGTTATTCTTACTTTTAGATTCGTTTTTAAAAAAATATTTTTTATCTAACTAGTGAAACTTTGCTAAACGCATTAAAGTAACTTATTTAATATGCCACAAATCAACAAAGAGTCTCAATTGAAATAAATGAACATATTATTTATTATTTACATCCATTAAAAATGTTTAAAATTTCACAAAAAAATAACCTTTTTAATCTTAATATCAGTTTTTCTTACGTTAATTAATTTTAAATAGGTAATTTGTATTTCAATGACTATTGTTGTATAAACTGCTCTACATTTATTAAGGCATGGTTTACTAAAGAAATACTTTTAATATTTAAACCAGTGGTTCCCAATTTCTTACGGCTACGGAACCCTAAATGGTGAAGCATCTTTTGGTTTAACCCCAAATATATAAAGGAAATTTATTAGCAACCATGAACATATTAACTAAAGAACGATTACAAACTATTTTGATAATATTTAACGTAAAGAAAGAATTTTTGTTCAATAATCGTTTAATCTATAAAACTTTTAAAATAATAGATTTTATGTCATGCAGTTAAATTCGCAGGCCTAGAATGATATCTAATCTTGCTCTGAAGTTGTTTTTGGTTCATACATTAGCTGAAAATGAATAAAATTAGCTGAATTATAGTTTTTGAAAGAAAAAAAAAACTTTTTGCAAACTTTGAGAATAGTTCTCAGAAAATAATTCGTTATTTTTTAATTTGGCTATTTTATTTGAAAAATTCGACGACAAATACTGATGCAATTTTTAATAAATTTTGTCATTTCCTTTTTTTTTTACTGGCATTTTACTCAAATAATTTCATTAAAATAACCAAAATGTCAAAGAAATTATGTCTTTTCGTACTGATGTAAACATAATTACAAGTTTAAAAAATTATGACTGATTAAAAGAAATTAAATTCTAGGAACACCTGTAACCCTTTCACGGAACCTCAGGGTTCCACGGAGCGCTATTTTGGAACAGCTGACCTAAGGGATTTATCACCTTATCAAGGTTGCATGAAATTTGAACGATATTAATAGGAACTTTTATTCTCATAGTATATAACAGCGGTTTTCAAATAGTGTTCCGCGGAACCCTGGGGTTCCGTGAAAGGGCCACAGAGAGAGGTTCCTAGAGTTTAAATTTTTTGAATCAGTCATAATTTTTTGGGGATTCCTTCAAAAGATGCTTCATCCTTTTGGGTCCCGTAGCCGTAAAAAATTAGGAAACACTCATAATATTTTAATACTACTATATTTATTGCATAATATGGATATAGTTATACCACAGTGCTGTAACAAGTGCATAGTTCATTTTGCAGCGACGCCGTGTATCAAGGCAATCAGTCCTAGCGAGGGATGGACGGCTGGAGGTTCTACAGTCACAATCATAGGTGATAACTTTTTCGATGGGCTACAAGTAGTCTTCGGAACGATGCTGGCATGGAGCGAGGTGAGATTGCATTTTGTTTAAAAGTATTTGTCAAAATATCTTGACTTGTTTGTCAAATTAAACTTTTTTAAGGACAAATATACTAACTATTTTGACTAAATGATCAGATTTTTCTGCTAAGATTCTTCTACACTGAGGAAAAAAAAGTATGGTCAGAATATAGTAAAATTTGCCATAGTTTTGGCTTCATGAGAACACCAATAAAGCACGTTTTTTTTCACCGAAGCGAGTTGGTAATGATTTTTGGTAAAGTTAACAATAGAATATGGTTTTATTGCCGTACTGTTTGGTAGGAAATGTGAAATTTAGTAATTTTTTTATGATACCCCAGAGCACTGAATTTGTAATTCAATTCATGGCACAAAAAAGAGCATTCGATTCAATTCACTTTTCAGCTTTGTATTTTTACTAAATGCGTGAAAAAAGAATCATTATTTCAAAACCAGAATTTTCAGTGAACCATTAACAAACGAACGGAATATCACCTAGTGAATGTTTTAAATACCGTATAATTTGATTTTATCACTAGCTGTGTCATTACTGTAAAAGCATTGTGATTTTACAGGAACTTTTTTCTCCTTGTAGAAAGAATAATGGAAATTCGATTGTCTACATATCATTTATTTTACTCTCATATTAAATAAGATTTGGGGTGAAGAAAACAAAGTCATTTAATCTTCCAGTAATTTTATAAAATTTAAAAAAAAAAGTAACAACAAAGGTAATCGTTAATTCGAATTATTTCATAAATAGTGTTCAGTAAGACAAATCTAATTTCAGTTGATTGACAATTATACTACTTACATTCGTTTTTGGAAACTTTTATTTTGTCATCAATCATGAAAAAAAAAATGGTTGCGAAATGGGGAAAAGAAATTATAATTACAATTTTGCGACAAATAAATAGTTTAATAGAAACAGTTAGGCAAGTTTTTAATCTGAAATAAATATTTTATGTGTTTCTTTGAAAAGGTTTTTACTAAATGTCTAGATGAAAAAACTGAAAGTATAAGTGCTTCTCCAGAGAAAATGTTAGTTTGTTTATTATTAAAAACATATAATTTCTTAAAAATTTATATACATATATTTACATAGTATTATTTGCATAGTTGATTAAGTAATTAAGGACATTAGAGAAAATGTAAATAGTGTTGACGAGAGTTTTTAATCTCTTTGAAGGAATAAAGAGGAATAGAATAAAATATTTAATTTTCGATCCCTCCAGACGTTTCTCTTTTATCTGGACAGACAGCAGTTTGCAATTGGTTGAACCTAACAAGTTTTCCATTGTCTTTCGGGCTTAACAAAGAGTCTCGCCCTTAGCCTTTAAAGCCGTATGATCATGTTGCAAACAACCTCTTTCGCAATGCGATCATTAATACTTCAAATTGTATTAACTCCAACCACTCCTCCACTGTTGAGCGATCAACTAGCAAAGAAGTTTCCCCAATCAACCATTCTGGGGTTCCTGTCGGCAAAAGGAGCTTATTTTGTCGAATGGTATTTAACCTCATCGACGAGTCTGTTGCTATTTGACAGTCGCTGCTCTTCTTCTTTCTTTTCATCTGCTTCATTAATTCAGAGGCCTCGACTTAGCTTACGGCTTCCTATAAATGCTTAATGGACGCAACTAGTAATTCCCTTCATTCATCTGCACAATATCTGTTTTGATCTTTCTCTATGAAATTGCTACCTTCTATCGATTTGTTAATTCTTTTACTCTTTCATTTTCAAACTTGTCTGATTTGCCTTGCGTTATTTTGCAATATTGTTAATGGGAAAAAATCATTCTTCAAAATGGCGAGTTTTGATTTTTATCCTATTAGTGTCAGTTCAATGAAAATCTAGAAATAAAGACAATCGAAAATTTAGGAAGATTTTAGGCAATTGATAGTTGGTTTTAAGGATATTTAGAAAATATTATCATTCTTGAACTTGACTCATTTGCCTTGCTTTATTTTGCTACTGTCAATAGAAAAAATTATCTTCCAAAATGGCACATTTTAATTTCCCTCTTATTAGTGTCTGCATGGTGAAAACCTGGAAAGAAAACTATTAAACTCAGAAAGTTAAAAAGATTCTGTTAAATTAATGTTTTATTTTTAGATGTTTAGAAAGAAGTTTCATATAAGAAGTCTGATTTAGATTGTGTTATTTTGTTATGGACAACAGAAAAAAAAACATTCTTCGAACTTGAGTGCTTTAATTTTCATCCTCATCAGTGATAGTTCAATAAAAACCTAGTCTGTTGCCATGGCCTTGTCTGTTGATGAGTCTGTTGCTATTTGACAGTAGCTGTTCTTCATCTTTCTTCTCATTTGCTTCATTAATTCAGAGGCCTCGACTTAGCCTACTGCTTCCTATAAATGCTTAATGGACGCAGCTAGTAATTCCCTTGATTTATCTGCACAATATCTGTTTTGATCTTTCTCTATGAAATGGCTACCTTCTATAGATTTGTTTATTCTTTTACTCATTTTCAAACTAGTCTGATTTGCCTAACATTATTGAGGGCATTGGGAAAAAATCATTCTTCAAAATGGCGTGTTTTTATTTTCATCTTATTTGCGTCAGTTAAATAAAAACCTAGAAATAAAACTAATTAGAAAGTTAGAAATATTTTGGGCAATTGATGATTGGTTTTAAGTATGTTTGGAGAGTATTTTCATTTTTGAACTAGGCTCATTTATTTTGTTATGGTCAATGGGAAAAATTATCCTTCAAAATGGCACATTTTAACTTTTTTCCTATTTGAGTATGTATAGGAAAAAACTATTAAACTACTAAAGTTCGAAAGATTTTTTCTAATTAATGTTTGATTTTCAGATACTTAGATGTTTTATTTTGTATTGTATTCTAAATCATTTAAAGTATATTTACTTTATAATTATGGACAACAGGAAAGCCATTCTTCAATCTTGAGCGTTTTAATTTCATCCTTATTAGTGAACGTTTGATGAAAACGTAGAATTTATATACTATGAAAGTTTGAATAGTATTTCGCAATTAATGAATGATTTTTAAGATATTTAGGAGACTGTTTGACTGTTTCTTAAGCAAAGCTATCCGTGTTTTAATTTTAAAGGAATGCCAAATTTTTTCTTCCGATTTTTGAAATGAATTTCATTTGAAATTTAATTTTCAGTATTACTACTCAATAAGAATTGAATACACAAAATTTTAAAAACAAATTTCTCATTACATTTTTGCGACTTTTTTCTATTCAATATGCATTGCTCGAAAAATAAAAGTACCTGAATATATAAAGGAAACAATGTTTTAGTAGTAAAATTCCAATTTTCCAGCAATTAAAAAATTTTTGTAACATGAAAGAAAATACCAATGCGCTCCTTAATGAATGTCTCATTTATGAAGTATGCCTTAAATAATTATGAATACGTTATAAAATATGATTCATTTAAAGTATGCTTATTTTATAGTTATTGTATAACGGCAAATGTTTCTGTTTTTCTCTTAGTGTTAAAAATGCTTAACGATATGTTGTAAATTATGCTGCATTTGTTATAAAATTAAAAATAAATTTGTTATTAGTTAATAAATATGTTATTCACAAGATAAAAGTATGTTTATGAAATACCTATCAAAATTTACTTAACTTCAATTACTAACCTATAATTAGAATTTTTGCCTTAGTTAAAATTTTGTTATGACATTTAGGATAATTCAATAATGAAGATATCTTTTTTCATCTTACTTTATAGCACATAGATTATTACTTTAAAGATTTGCAATTATTAACACTGAAAATTTTTTATTTTAGCTCATTACATCACACGCTATCAGAGTTCAAATACCACCTCGACAAATTCCAGGTGTTGTTGAAGTCACGTTAGCATATAAATCCAAACAATTTTGTAAAGGAACACCCGGAAGATTTGTATATGTTGGTAAGTTTCAACTTTACATGCTTATCATTAATAATTATAAATTATTAATCAATTATAATTAATATTAATAAATACTGTCTATTTAAATGACTACAATAATAATATACCTAATTTATAAAGTAAAAAAAATAGCCATTTTTGTCATAACATTTTTTAACGAAGTTACGAAGCTCTAATAGTATATTAATAATTTACTAGTATATTACATTAAACATTTTTCTGAATATTTATATATTATTTATTGATTTATTACATATTGATTTATTATACTATGTATTTATGCTGCTAGATTATATTCTATATTTATAGCATTTATTATAATTTAAAACAATTTAACTCTAAGATATATTTTGTCGTAAATGTTAGACTTTAAGTGTGGTTAATTTCATTGCTTTCCTTATAGAATTTTAAGAAAACTGCTTACAGCATAGATATTTAAAGCATAGATATATATTTAGAATTCAAAATAAAATGTGTTATGAGTTTTCGCGCATACTCTATCGGATCTAAGTCTATGTAGATTTAAAACGATTCTATAAATCTGCTCTAAATTTACATAGATGCATGCGATCAAAACCTATACAGATTTAGAACCCATAGATTCTCATTAACAAAGATATAATTCTATCAAATTTAAAATTAGGTCATTAATTAAATATTACTTTCCTCTAAATCTGCAAAAATGTTTATTTATTTTAAGAACCTATCTATTAAAGATGTTGCTATCTGAGTCATTTGTAATATTTAATTAAAATTTTAATTCTGTTTTCAACAGCCTGAATAACTTCTTTTAAATTTTATTAAAATCAATATATTTTGCATTTAAAATTTAAAAAAAAGACAATTTTTGTGCCACCGAAGACGTTTGTTTTTTGTAACTTTAATGCCCTGCGTACATTTGGCGAACTTTTAAAGCAGTTTCAGTGCATGGAAATATTTATCACTGCATCAAACAATAAAACATTTTTCTAAGCAATTTTCCTAATTGGGAAAACTCTTAAAAAGAATTATAAGTAAAGTTAATGTTTATTGACGTTTTATCTAAATGCTCAGGGGAATTTTATTGTTTAGAGAAAACATGTGTAATTCCATAACTTGAAACATAAATTGAACTTAAACAAATTGCTTAATTTCTCATAATTTAAAAAATGAAATCATTAAATCACGCTATTCTAGGAAAGTTTCAAGCTTAGCTGGGTAACATTTTATAGAAGATTGGCAGTTTGACGGATTTGGGCACTTTCCAACTTCTTAAGTTTTGATAAAGCATCCCGATTTTTGGTTTAGCTCCAGACAGTTTTCCAAGTTGTAGCTACAACTGGTCCGATATAATCTATCTCCAAAGTCGTTCTATCTGTCATCATTTGGAAACTTTGGTCGTAATTTCTCTTGGAGAAAAAGAAAGATGCCGCTCCCCCTTTAACTCACTAAAATGTTTTCTTAGTAGTAAATCTTGGCTATGTCTTTGCAAAGTACTTAATAATGGGTTGAAGTATATAAGAGTTGAAAGATAATTTAACTTTGAATGAATCTGTTCATAGAATCATGACATAGTGTCATATAAAAGCTTTATTTTTATCACTGATAATTTTTGATGTGAGAGGTTGCTTTAAACTATTGCCAACGAGTGGTTAAAAAAATGTATTTTTAAAAAAAAAACAATTATGTTGAGAAAAGTTTTTACTTGCCTTTTAACCCTTTGACGTATAATTTTTTTAAACAAATTTTTCATACTTTGATTTATTATTTTGTATATTATTATTATTTCGAATTATTTCAATTTAGGTCAAAATACGAGAAAAATATTAAATTTAGCAATTTATGGTTAGCAATTTATTAATTTAATCAATGTATGGTTATGAAATACGGCATAGAATTCCGTTTTTTTTTCTTAATTTTTTTTTCTGCTTTTAATTTTTTATTCTGTGTTAAAGGTAATATCTTTCAAAAGCGGCTCACTTCCAAAACATTTTTCGCAATTTTTATTTATTTGCAGTTATTTAGATCCAAGAGAAATAATTATTTATCAGTGAAATTGCTCTAATTTACAAAATAATTTATTAAAAAAGTTTTTAATATGAAAAAAAAAATCAAACTATTTCTTTTGGATTTTATATTTCAATATAAATATAATTCCGATAATCAAAGAGACGTTTTAGAAACTATTAGACAGTTTTTTACGATTAAAAAAGGACTAAAATATATTTTTGCTTGTAATTAGAGCGTCAGAAAGAAAAGCAACACCGATGTCCACTTTGCGTCAAAGGGTTAACTATTCTTGTGTAAAATTATCGAAAATTCGAATGTATTTAAGATAAAATAATTGAAGATTTTAAATTGTAAGGAGAACAAAATACAAGCTTTACTCTGTCTAAAATGATGCTTTATACCATCGCTAGCATTTTTAAAGCTTTTTTTTCTGTAGAAGTATATAATTAAAAAAATAACTAATAATTTTAAATTTGTTATACATGTTTTTAGTATAATACATAATATTAATATGAGTATTTTTTCTAGCTTTGAGCGAACCCACCATAGATTATGGCTTCCAAAGACTCGCGAAGTTAATACCACGGCATCCTGGTGATCCAGAAAAATTACCAAAGGTACGTGCATCTTTAAAAATTTTATTCGATGTGAATTAAGATACTAAGATAATATCATTTCGATGAAACAAATGTCGCACATGTGCTTTATTTTTGTACTATCAATACGTACTGATAAAAATATAAGTGAATAAGCTTCTTGAAAATATGCCCTAACAGTAGAAAATTTGACCTAAATCTAAAATATCTTACAGCCTAATGTTTTACAGGGCTTTTCATATTTAATGGTAATATTTTTTATCAGATCAATATTTAAATCAACGTGCAGCTTTTATGATAATTATCAATCAGTGCTCATATGATAATTATCAATCAGTGCAAATATGGTAATAAAAATTTATCACGAAATTGTTTTTGATGAATTTCAATTTTGCCTCGTGTTTTTGAAACAGGTTAAGAGCATTTAGTGCTTTTTTTTAAAAAAAATTAAATCAAAATGATCCTTATGGCAAAAATTTAAAATTTTTCAGCTCATATTTCCATGTTTATGCGTTTGCTTAATTATTTTATTCCAAGACAAGCAGTGAATTATTCCAGAAAATAATAAAGACTAACTTTTCTATTGACTTGCGTGCATAGGCTTTTGCTGAACACTTAGAAGATTTGTAAAGTTAGCCATTGATACGTCAACACACTTTTTGTTTTATTCAAATTTTAGAAAATTATTTATTTTTCAAGAAAATTATTTACGAAGTAATAAATAACTAAAAATAATGAATCCAATTAAATATATTCTAAATAATTTTTTCAATCCAGGTTAGTTGGTTAAAAGTTGATAAAAAGTTGATGTGATTGGAATTTAATTTACCACCTATTTATTTAGAATACTAAGAAAAAACTACGCGTTTATATTAAAAGATTACCTCTGATTCATTTTTTTATATGTTTATACAAAGCAGAAAATATTTTTTGAATTTTTTGATTTATTTCCGAATATTATATTTAAAAAAGTGTGACATAACTACATGTGATTTTTTTTTTTTTGGATGGCTTTTTGATGTTCGTCAAAAAATTAAGAATTAAAGTTGGAAGTTTTATTCTCGTGTCTGAATAGCGTTTTTTGTAGTAACTTGTAGCTCATATATTAATCAGTAACCATGTCTGTCAGCCAAATAAAAAAAAAAGATTAAAATTCTGTTCTGTATGTTGTGTGCGCAAGGTTTGAAAAGGTTATGCGATAAAATTCTTAAAATGTGATAAAATTTTTTAAATAAGGAGTTGACAATGGAAAGAACTTTAGTATTTAGAAGGACTAATAGGGACAGAGAAAGAGAATTTTCTTTTCTTGGTAAAATAACTTAGAAACCATCTTTAATTCCTTTTCAATGTTAACTCCTCACAAATGTAATACGTACTACTGTATATCAAATATTTTAAGCTAATTCAAAATAAATTTATTTTATTTCAGGAAATAATTCTTAAGAGGGCGGCGGATTTAGCCGAAGCTTTGTACAGTATGCCACGAAATAATCAGTTAGCCCTACCTGCACCAAGATCACCAGCCTTGAACAACGCTGTCGCCATGTCCGGCTTCAACGCTTATACAGGTCAATTAGCTGTCAACGTTCAAGAGAACGGTAGGGACCCATGGCCCCACGTTCACAATGCCTACTGCCACTGTTCAGGCAATCATTCATGTTTAGGCGTGCATGAAAATTCCTTTTGCATGTTTCTCAATTTCTAATTTTTCTCCTACGGTAGCATAATTTTAAAAAAGGTACTTCATACATATTTCTAATTGAAAAAAATTAACTTTTATAAATTAAAATACATTTTTATTTGTCGGATATGAACCAATTTTATGATTGCCTGCGCATGAACATGGTAGATTTTGTGATTTTATTCTATCTTCTTTTAATATTTTTTTTTTCCAAATAAATAAAATAAATATATTAATTTATTAACAGAAATTTAATATTAAGTTGGTAGAGAAAACCAATATTTTGACTAAAATTTCAAAGTATTTAGAAATCAAGAAAAATTTAAAAATTATGCATTGAATTCTTCCAGAATGAATCGAAATAAAAATAATATTTACAAAATATAAAAATGTAAAAATAATATTTATTTCAGAAGTATAAATTTTTAAAAAAAAATTATTTTTGAAAATGTATATGCATTGTTTATTAACGTCTTTGGTTATAACGTAAAAATATTGTGACGGAAATTTAAAAAGCTTTAAATCTATTTCAATATTACAAATAACTAAAATAAGACTTGTTGAGAAAATAACGCAAAGCGTCTATTCGAAATTTTTAGAACATCTTTCGAATTATGAAATTTTTCTTGAATTTTTTACACACTGTGAACTAGAGCTTTAAGTTATTATTTTTATTTCTGTAAATTGTAAAAAAAAATAATTTTGAAGTCTTTTAGTGAATAAAGTTAATTAATATCATAAAGTTAAGTTTGAGAATAAAGTTAGCGAATATTGCTGAAAGAGATATTGCTGAAGAGTTTGATTCAAATATTAAGAAAAATAATAATATTTGATTTTCTTCGTATTCAGTAAACATGATTTGTTTTATAACAAAGAATTCAAATTTAAATAGTCAGTGCACAATTTTCCAATTTTTCTTTCAGAGTACGGATGATTTGTAAATCCTAGTTTTTTATAATTTAACTTAATAAACCGATTTATATACTGCCCGAAATTAATAAAATCAAATCAAAATATTAAAAGATATAATTAAGAGTAATGGACAAATAAAATTATTTAAATTTAAAATTATTAAAATTAATTTATTTATGTTATCAAGCTCTAAAAAAATTAAAGTAGGTTTTATTTAATGGACTAACTCAAGTTTTTCTTATTTTCCTTGCTTGTTTTATTATAATTTTTATTATAACTAATTTCTATCTTATATTAATCAAAATAGTTTTAAATATTTCCTTTCCTTTCTTTCATGTGAAATTTTCCTTCTCCATTATAATATTTAATTTAATTTCATAAGTAGTAATAAACAAACTGCTCATAATTAACATGTCTTTATAAAATAAAATATTTGATTTTTATAAAATTTTTTCTTTAATTTTTGCAAATTAAAGTTGAAAGTTTTTAAAAATATTTTACTATTATAAACAACAAAAAAGTTCTTTGTTTTAATAGAATCATTTGTAATTATTGTTAATCATCAAAATTATTACAAGTATAATGCATTTGGGGGGGGGGGGTGTCTTATCCTTAACTTCATAACCGAGAATTTAAATTTTTTCTCTGTGTAATGCAAATGACTAAAATGATACAAATTTTAATAGGCCTGCAAGATATCAAAATAAACTGCATTAAAGTGCATTAATATTTTGAGTTTCCCAATATACAATAATATTTAAAAATACTTTATAGTGTATTTATCTATAGCTTAAAATTATAAACTGAAAATATTTCAATTATTTATCTATTTCATAATATGCAGAGCAATTTTTTTCTTTCGTTTTTAGACCAGCCGCGTTTAATACGTTTAATATGTTGAGCAGCGGTTTTTTCTTTTTCCACTTTTATTTCAAAGTATTTAAGTGAATTTTATTTTCAAAAAAAATAATAGCGACCTTTTCTATAAAAAGCTAGTAAAACTATTAAAAGGCTAGAAAAAATTGAGAAAAATGCACATATTTCAATAACAATATTCTTATGTACAATATTCCTGTGTAAATATTATGCTGAAATTACTACATTCAAAACAATAGAGTGCGTGGGAAAATATTTTCTCCAACAAGCGTAAATACCACAATGTCAAAAATATATTAAGTAACATACATGCATACCTGAGAGTGGAAAGCAATAAGAAAGGAACGCCAGTTTATATGATTAACTAATATTTATATAATGTAAATAAATAATTCTTTTTAGATCATAATCTTATGATAAATGATATTTTTGAGAGATGTGTTTAAGAAATTTAGCTAATAAAATTAAATTTTTGTAGACTATGGAAGGACGCAGAGCAACAGTGTGTCTCCAAGAGGCTATGGCTCTAATGCGTCAACGCCGCACAGCGCAAACGGCAGTTCCTACAGCACCACAGCAATGAATGGTGGTTATGGCAGTCCGCCGAATCTAGGCAATATGGCCGTACCAAGTTCTCCGGGTCTCTTCAATGGTAATGGCTTTTGTTTAAAGTTATTATAGATTTTTATTACTTTAATTTACTTATGAAAATTTTTATGGTCAGTCACTAATTACAACGTATCATCCTGACACGGCAAACCACCTAGCCCTAATTATCAAGACTCTATCTTATTACGGCCTCTGCAGAAATTTTATATAATTTTGACTCTGGTTAGCAAAATGGACGGTGCCTGATCTGCTACCCCTTCTATAAACTTTCACACTACAACCAACTAAAAGACTTTCCATCACAACAGATTTTACGTGCATTTTGTGTGTATACACGTCGGTAGCTTAATCGGCTGCCACAATCGAACTCACGACCTCCAGTTCTTCATTAGTGGTAAGACGTCTTTACCAAGTGCCCTAAATTAAAACATGGTTATTAGATAATTACCACATGAAAATTAGAAAATAGCATCCAATATATATGGGGTTCATATTTAGTCCTTATAACGGCTGTAAGTTACAATGTGCTATTTTTCGAAAAATAGAATAAAAAAGGTAAAACGGTAATATTTTTAATAACTAACTATGACTGAACAATTTATTTCATATACATCTTAACAAACTATTGTAACTATGCTTAGGAATTTAATTTTGAAATTTAAAAAAATATAATTCTTGTTTTTTTTCTTCCTTAGCTCGTAATCTACACAAAGTGGTTAATGCAGTTTTGGTTTAACCACTTTGTTAATAACGAGATCATCTATTCAAATATAATTTACTATGTTTGAATAGTTTTATACATTTTGAATGAAATTTAAAGTACATTTTCTAAAATGTTTGATAACGTTTGCAGCTAATAGTGACATATATATTATATTCAATTTTGATTTTATGATTATTATTTTAACAGTTTTAAACGAGCATTCTTTTGCAGTTTAAAAAGTCTCATTTTTAGTGAATGCATCAAGTTGGATTTTCGAAAATGTTTTCAAATTCATTAAAATAATATGTTTCTGAATAGAAATTCTCCTATCTAACTGAACAAAAGAACTTCGTAGCAAAAATTATGTATCAACTTAAATTTTTTATGAAGGAACATAAATTTAATTTTTGTTTTGAAGTTATGATTTCTTTAAAAGATTTTTTTAGGTAAATTATTATTTATACTCAAATTATATTCAATAATGTCAAACTGCAATTGCATTTTCATAATTCTGAATGAAATTATAACTAATCACATAATTTGCGTGAACAAATTAAAAGTAAAAAAAGGCACTTTTTTATTACTCTTTAAATGCAACAGAAAATTGTAAATATACATACCTACCGAAATGATTTTGCAATTATTAACATTACACACACACACATATATATATATATATATATATTTAACAAAAGCTCATTTATACACGATTCACACAGACTCAGTTTTTGAACCACACAGGTTTGCTTATACATTTCCAACTGCCTCTTCCTTTGCATCGAAATAGTGCTAACGGTTTAATTACGGAGGGAGCGACATCTATTAGTCTTTGTTGGTTTTCTCTTACAGAGGTTGTTTCGTTTGTCACACACACACACACATATATATATATACTTAACCCTTTCAGACAGAGATTTTTTTTGCAGCACAATGTTTTTTTTTTCCATTCATAATATTACGAATAAGTTTTTTTTTAAAAATCTGGACTCACTTTTTGCAGTTAAGCCGTGAGACATTGATGTCCCTTTAGCCTTTTTGAGTGACTAATTACAAATGGAACTTGACTACTGAGATATATATAGTTTGCCTATAGTAAGAACTTTCCTTGCCTCAAAGTCTTAGGTTGTCTGTTGCTAGGGAAACATGAATAGCGCATTTCAGAGAGGGGAGCTTCGATAATAGGTTATTAAGGAAGTTTACCAGATTGACTGACTCCAGCTGCCAGTCGCAGACTTATTTAATCTGATTTAAGAACATTTNTATATATATATATATATTTATATATTTGTTTGCAAATAAATTTTTTATTAAGAATGAGTAACCTATTATATGCTTGTTCGTTTATACTAAGAATTTTGTCGCACACTTATAAAAACCAGTCTATAAGCAGAAATTAATAAGCAGAAATTAAGAAAAAAAATTCATGCGGAAAGTTATGTGAACATGATTACTACAAATTCCATATTCTGACAATTAAGTATTTATATGACTTTTATGTTCGCATAGAACTCTTTTTAATGATATTTTCCTTTTAATGTTATTTTCCTAATGTTATTTTTTTAATGTTATTTTATTTTTATTCGCTTATTATTTATGGTATTCTATTAATATTCTATATAATTATTGATGAACGTTTCGGTACTGACTTTTAAACCGGGAAGTTATACATGTAAGCTTGCATTTTTTCTGAAAAAAATATTAATTGAAAAATTCTGAACCTATTCACAGAAATATACAATAGTCATAAAATGTAAACATACATACAAGTAACAGCTTTTTTTTTAATTATTAACTTTTTTCAATTATTGTATTAATTTTATATTATTTTTTAATTTTTAATTATAATTTACTTTCTTACCAAACATTTTTGATGAAAATTCTAAATATATATACTAAGAGTGATGTTTGGAGAACTCTCTTTACCAATTCATTTAGAGAATAATATCATCAAAATTATTTAGTCTTAATTAAATAGTTTTTGACCATTTCTAAAAATATACAACAAGAGCGATGTTTGGAGTCCCTTAAACAATTATTTATCACTCAAATTACTTAGTTTCATTTAAATTATGATAGACAAAAATTCTACAAATATACATCAAGAACGGAAAACTCATTTAATCAAGGCGTGAAGACAATCATTAACACCCCAATTGTCTAGCTTTATTTCAATAATTTTTGACAAGTATTCAAGCAATGTATATCCTGAGTGGTATTTGGAGAACACCCTGCAAAACTTTTGCACCATTTTTGGATAATGTTTTTAAATTTTTTTATTAATTTTTTTTCGTTTTGTTTTAGGAATGGGAAGTATAGTATCCTCGCCTTTCGCAGCCATGAACCCCTTCGCGCTACCAACGTGCAATGGTCAGTCTTATGGTAGCTCAATAGTGACATCTAAATGACGGTGGAGTTGTGCACCTACAGACTGGAGGTTGTAAATCAGCCTATTTCCCCCCAAATTGGCTTCTTATGGACTGTCGTGGGTCAAGTGCACCTACAGAAAGAATGCCAACAGATTCAAGACACGAATGCTAAAATAACTGTATTGGTTTATCAAAATACAAAAACTGATTTGGACATTCAAGCAAGTTTTGTTTCTGTGGCAATCAAAAAACAGCCTGTTCTGAAAGCTCGGATGCAAACAAAGAGAAGTGGACTTTTTAAAGTTATATGTTTTATTAACTTTAATCGCGTTAAAAATGTTACAATGAAAATAAGTATTAAGAAGCTGTTCGCACCATTTCATTTTTGGAAACATTATTCTTGTTCTTTAATTATAGAATATTTTTATTCCATTTTAATATAGCTTAAAAACAACGAATTTATTAGTTTCTTAAGGCGAAGAATTTAAGTTTCAATTTAAATTATTACAAGTTAACTTACAATGCTAAACATTTGAAGCTATCCCTATAACGTTCTATTAATTTTAATTGTCATTCTTGTTTTAGTTTTTTAATTACAAGAGATTAATGCAAATTTGCTTGCTTATAGATCCAAACTTACTCAATTAATTTAAATATTTAAAAAATTTTAAAACTTCAATTATTGATACAAGTTATGTTAGACCTCGGATACAAAAGAATGAGTTTATTTCTTTGCTCGTGATATTATCAATATATTTTTTCACCTAGTTTTATTTATTTATTTATTTATTTTTGTATATATAAATATATTTATCATGAATTATTTATTAATGTAAAATTTCTGTTATTTATAATTAAGTGCAATTAGTTACACTTTAATGGAAAGATTTTTGTTTTACGATATATTGTCATATTTAGAAGTTTTATGAAAATGTTATTTTTCCAAATCTGTTGCTAGTCTTTATTTATGAAAATTATACTTTATTTTCAAATATTTCTAACAAAAAAGCCATAAAAATAATAGTTTGTTGCAACACAAACTTGTAGCAACTGCCACTTGAACTCAGCAACAGTTTGCACGTAAGTTGCAAGTAATTTTAAGAACAACAGATAGACACAAACGAACTGTGTTTGTTTTCTTCACCTGTAAAATTTAAGCTTTTAAATTTAATTAGTAATGTTTTCTACTAGGCACAACATGAAAATATAAGAGATTTTAATCTGACATCGGAATTAATTTATAATTTTTTTTCTTCAAAAACTCGTAGAAATTTCTATTTGTTAAAGCTTTGGCTTAAAATTGAAATAAGGCGCTAATTTGACAGTTTTAAATTTCTTGTGCAAATTACCAAAATATACGACAAGCTTTATAAAGGCAATTTTAAAATAAAAATAATTTTAGAGGTGTTGATTTCAATCATAGTTCATTTTTTAACAATCATAATATCATTAGTGAGCAGGATTGTTTAAATTTGTGAAAAATGAAATTTAAGATAAAAGACTTAAAAAGCCCCCCCCCCTTTTTTATGAAATATTAAAAATTACATAACTTAAAATAATTTTGTTGCATCTAGGGATGTGAATATTATTTCAAATATTTGTAAGAAAAGTTTGAACTTTTCATTTAAGTTTTCAGTTTATTTATCAAATTAGTGATACATATGCAAATTACATTTTTAAAAAATTCCTTATTTATAATCATTATTATTAATAGTTCACTAGCATAAATCGCTGTAAAAACTACATTATTTCACAGTCTTTTAGCCTTTGTACACAAATTTCTTAACGTAGTTAAGAGTTTAAATTGAAAACATTTTATAATCAAAACTCCGATCAAACTAATTTATAAACAGTTAAATACATATCCACTGCTATAATTAAAATATGAGTTCCAGATATTAAAAAAAAGTTTCTTTAATTCTCTTGTTCAAAATACCGTGTTTCTATAAATTAAAAATTCTTGAACTCCTAATTTATGCCATGAAACTTTTCAGTAAACTCGCCAGTTTTATCTTTTCTACAGTCTACGAGAACAAGTTAAAATTATTTTAATTTGTTAAATTTGCTTTAATATGATTTCGGAGCACCATTATTCGAAATTATATGCGGCGTAATTAATTAATAATTATAATCAGTTTCCAGCAAAATAGTTTCCTTCTCTTACGTTGAATACTTTTTATTGTTTTCAATAGTTTTAACTATTCATTTATTACAGTAATTTGAAAGAAATTTTTCACTAGCACTTATAGGGTAAAGCTTTAATTAGTGCACAGTAAAAGTAATTTAATAGATAATGAATTCCAACTTAATTTACATAATATTTTAAAACTTATGGGACATTTTAAAACATTATCGAAAAGATAATGCGAGAAAAATATATATATTTTAACAGATGCTAATTGAATTTTTTCTCGTAAAGTTCATTTCAAAATCAAATTATAAATATTAGAGTTAATTAATTCATATAAGGAGAAATAAATTACTACCTTTACTGTGTACTTACTTGAGAAAAATATAAATAACAAAGCTTTAATTATTTTTATCAATATCAAACATTTTTCACTCGTTATGGTATTTTAGGATTAAAGCGAAAGGATTGATGTGTAATCTTGTAACATTGATTTTTAAGAAATGTTCATTCTTGTATATAGTCTATACAGACGTATGGTCAATTTTGGCATGTGATAAATTCCATTTCTAAATAACTTCTGTAATATATTCCTTCTTCTATCTCTGTTTCATCTCTGAAATAACAGAAAAGAAGACAAATTAAAGCATTCTCTATGTACATCCATTTCATGATGTGATCGTGTTCAGGTGATTCCATTTTTTACCGACAAACAAAAATTCATCTTTAAGGATGTTTTTCAAAGCACTTTCGCTAAGGAAGCCACAGTTTAAATGCTTCAAACTAGTAGCAAATATACAATTTTAAACTGTTAAGATTACCTTACAGTGAAGAATTATCTGAGCCTAAGATTAACAAATATATTGAAAATTAAAAAAAAGAATTTTTTTTTTAAATCACCAATTTGGGGAGACTTTTCCCCATAAATTAAAATCCTTCAAATCAGTGAATAATTCTCGATTTTCGCTAGCTTTTATTAGTCCAGGCAATTTAGTGTTAGATCACAAACGATTTTCATTTTCTACAAACTGTGGCTTTTCATAACATTGACATTTTTCGCCATTTTCATAATTAGCTGAAGATTGGAAAAAACCTATTCCAACAGTCATAAATAACTGTTTCAAACCAACAACTGTTATAAAAATATCGCGTTATTTTCTGAAAAGCGTTTTTTGATGTTACGATAGAGCTTTCAAAAAACAGCCTTTATGATGAAAGGCAAAAAATGGAAACTATTTGCTAGTCACACTCATCATACCATTGTTTGGTGTTTTTAAAAAATAAAACAAAATGTAATTTTATGCTAAATGATATTTTTGCTTTATTTATGTGTGCACCATAACAAGTTTACTTAGAAGTAAACGCAACTTGCGCGGAAAATATAATGTCGGGAAATTATGAGTAGATTTAATTTTATTTAGACACGTTTAAAAATTAGTACTTTAAGTTCCAGTTTATCTCGTTCATTATGAAACTCTCAGAAATTTCCGCAAAAAAATGTACGTATTGAAATGGCACTTATTATTTATATAAATTCAAATATAAATGTTGGAAGAAAATAAGATTAATAGAAAATGACTATTAATACAATTGAAGGAATAAGAATTATTAATAAAAATTTATAAGTTATAGAAAAAACGTTTATAAAAGTAAAAAAAAACATTGATACAAAAATAAAACAAGGAAATTGTGACGAGAAAATTGATACAAAAAGGTATCTATAAAAGGAAATATAACGAAAACCGTATCAATTGCTTTTTGAGCCTTTAAAACAAAAAATTGGATATTAACTTATAAAAAAGGCTTAACTTTACTGGTCTGTTTAGAAAACAAAGGCTTGTTTTCCATGCTGAGATTTCTGAGAGAATACGGTACACATTTACGGAAAGAATAACATATATTCTGAGTATATTAAAATAAGGCTTAACTTTACCAAAATGTGTTCCGTATAATATTTCTTTTAGATCTACATCATATTCGACTCATGAATGTAGAGTCTTTCTATCAAACCTTCCTAAAAAAAGAGTTGATTATAAAAATAGAAAAAAAAATTCTAGAAAATTCTCATCCATCCCATCTTTTTCACCTTCTGTAAGTACAATTGTACAGCCTGTACGAATTGGGTTGAAAACGATATTGACATTTGAATTGAGTCGTGAAAAGGAGTGTTCTGCTATCGGTTTAATGGATCTAAATCATTGGAGGTGAGTTCAATTGATTCCTATAACAGGAATCAATTGATTCCTTTAACAGGAATCTCATAGGAGTGTGCGAAGTAAGTAAAAGCAGTCTCTGTAACTGGGCACTTCTTAGAAAAGTAAGTAGGAGTTGGTCGCCATTTGTTCATTTATTTTTCCTTTACTTCTTAGCCCCGTGTGATTGGAAGCAATGGAAGAATTCGTTCCATTGATTGCTCTTAGAAAAGGGGGACCGAACATTTTTTTGTTCTTTCATGAATTGTATTGATCTGAAACTGTATACGATATCATTAATCTTGATGTATTGCAATTCTATTGTGACATTGCTTGTGATGTGTAATGCTATTGTAATGTAATAAAAATTGGACAAATAAACTGTTTTATTATCAAACTTGGAAGTGTTGCAATAAGTAAGTCAGTTTATTTTATTACTTTAAAGTCTTTTAAACATTGCGATATTAAACCTTCCAATAAAAGCAGTTAGTTTAGAATACCGATTTGAAGACTTTAAGTTGATTAACAGAAGTAAATTTCCCCTCCCCTTAAAACAGAAAGAAGCATAATATTTTATGTAGATTCTATATAAAAGTAAAGTACCTCTGATAACTGTTGTATTTTCTTGTTTTGACTCGTGCCATTGGATTAAGTTTTATTACTTAAAAGCAAAAAGGAAAAAAAGTATAGATCATTTTTAGTTAAATATATATATATATATATGTATGGAGAGAGAGAAAATTATTTAAAACTGTTTTGTTTATTTGAATTGATGAGTTCGTAAACACGGATTTTCCGTATCAATGATTTGATTTCGGATTTGTTCATTCTTTTAGAATTCTTTTGCTAAAATTAAGTTTTTTTTTAAGAAAAAAGGTTGAATGATTCCTCTAACCTGCATTAAATTTATCAATATTATGTTTAATATTTATCAGTATACTAAATTGTGCTTAAAAAATTTTATTTAAATTTCCCCTTCAGAAGAAAATGGGATTCTACTACCCCATGTTAACCTACTAAAAACTATATGAATGCCGTTTCCTTATTTATTAAGTAAATATTTTGTATTTGTGAATATTTTGGTTTCTATTCTATTTACATGTATCCCATTAAATTTAGTTCCTAAATTTTAAATTTTAAGGTTGAAAGCAATTTTAAAACGTTTTCAAAAGTTCAAGTTTTAGAAGTATTTACAGTGTAAAATTTTGGAAACTAACTTCAAAAGTATATATTTCAATAAATAAAAAGAACCGAAAATATTAAAATGCATTAATTAGTTACTTAATAACGAAATTTTATTCATATTACTCTCCATAGGTTATATAAAATCTCTTTTCTGTCTTTAGGAGATCCTTAAACCAGGAATATTAGCGTTAGTTTTGACCGTGGTATTATTGTAAATTGGGAAATAAAAAGGTTAGCTTTCCTGGGTTAAGGTATGTTTAATATCGCAGAATATACAT